TTCCCTACTTTGAATGCTTGTATTCGATAGTAGAACTGTCCGAAATCTGGCAGCATTATATATTATGTTTTTAAACTCTAGCACTGTTGGGAATTAGCTCTTTTAATATTTTACTTTTTGATGCCCTGTGACCTTAACTTCTAGAATTTTGGAATCAATGTGCAAAAATATAGCATTTTGTGTCTATGTTAATGCTTTAGTTCCTTATTGCAGTTGAATGGACACATGTGAAGTTGGCCTATCTATAATTACGTATTCTTTAAAACAATATTTCAAAATTCTGCCCTCTGTTATACTTCAAATTTCATATAAACCTGTCAAATGTGTATTATGCATTTGCATTAGCTTATTTTGAGCTTAAAAAAAAAAAACCTGTCAAAAGAGTGTGTGTACATTGAGAGGAAATGTTTCTTCTCTTTTTTTTTTTTTTAATACAAAGGAAGTCTAAGACTCCTTTCTTTTTTTAAAGATGTGGCCTTGTAAAGATAATCTTGTATATTTTCATATACTCTGTAATTTTCATAATCAGTGATACATTATATTTCAGTATATAATTTGATTTAAAAATCATGGGATCAGTGATTTTTAGTAGATACGACTAGTGCTTAATGTCTTCGAACATGAACTTGCAAACTTGAAAGCTTGTTGGTAGTATTTCTGGGTCTTGTTTTCTTCATAATGGATACTAGTTGTGGAGTAAGTGAAATAAAAGACATTTTGCTATATAGTTGACCTCAGAAGATCCTCCTTTTCTGAATCCAGATTGATGAGTTCTTTTACTATATCAAAAGCTACTCAGAAACCAGTCTTTTAAAGTTTAATGCTTGAGAGCTGGGTTGAAAAATTGTGCTGAAGTAAATCCTCTGTTAATACACTTGTTAGCAAGACCTTGAATTACATAATGCCAGATGTCTAGTAGCAAGGTGAGAGCAGAAGTGCTTTTTCCAGATGGTCTTTGACATTTGAAGACAAATAAAAATGCTGAAAAGTATTTTTTTAAAAAAAAACCTCAAAACAACCCACCACAAAACCCCAAATTTGCTGCTTCATCATATTGTTAACATCAAGATTAAGCACAAAATTCAAATCAAGACAAGGTCATAGCTCTGGAAGCTGTCAAACATGTTAAATTTTAGTCTGGGCTTGAATTATGATCTGTGGTATTTTGTTGTTTTGTTTTCTCCTCAGCTCTGTGGGACTGGCAAAAGCAGCTTTAGAAGCAATTAATGGTTTCAATCTCTTTGGAAATCAGGTAATAAGAATGTTTGTTTTCTGTCCTTTTTTTTTAGCAGTAATGATTTACACTGTGGATCAGAGGATATTGAGAAATATCTAGTACAGTTTGTTAGATTTCAGCTTTAAAGAAATGAGTTTGCAAACTGTTGCAAATTGATTGTCCTGTTTCAGGTGCAGAATTCGTCTGGTAAAATGGAGTGCCCTTACTATCCAGAATTACTTTAAAAAAATAAAATAATTGCAACTTATTCTGAAAAAGGATTTTGTTGCCAAAAATGTTTTGTTTCAGAATTGTATCTGTTGATCATAATACCATATACCTCTGCCTACAAGCATTACCTTACTTCTGTCTTGTTCCTTCACGTGGCTTTTGATCAAGACTTTAAATAAGATAAATAATCTCACTGTTTTACTGTTTTTTTAATTTCAGTATGTTGCATAGTGGTAAATGTCAGCATTGTCAAGCTCTTGGTGTTGTTAATGAATGGAGCTGAAGGGTGGGATTGCAGCTAAAAAGACAGTTGCATAGCATCAAATGTGTGTAGAAGTAGGTGTAATACTTCCTGATGAGTTTTGTCTGTAAATTGTGTGGAAGGGAGAATAGGTTGGTCACAAAGTGATGAGCACAGTACACTAAGTAAAGCCTTCCTCATTGCACTGTTTTCTTGAAAGCTTTAATGCTCTTTGACTTGTAACTGATGGACCTTGCTCACATGCCCAAATGTCTATATTTCTTACAAAGTAAGCACGAATCAATGAAACATGCTTTATCTCTTCTTAGGGTTGAGTAACACTCAAACTTATTTTAAAAAATGACACGTTTTCCTGAATAGCTTATTTTTATACTTATATATTTTTTCTCTGGTTAGGCAGTATATCATCATTTTGAGTTTTAATAATTTTATAATTCTGACCTTGACTTGAAGTACTATTTGTATATTTTTTGAGTAAGGTTTCTGTATATTTCTGCTGGCTTCAGGATAGGATTTTTTTTCCCCCCTCTCTTTCTGTAATACCCAAGATCTCCTTTTGTCATGTAAATCAGATGGACCTGACTTTCACGTGGTGATACTTGGCTGTGTCAAATATTCCACTTTAAGAAACTTGGTTAAATGCACTGGTTTGCCATAAAGAAAATAGTACAAAGGAGAGAAGTTATAAATGGTAAAATGCTAAATGGTGAATAAGGGGAATTCTCAGGTGCTCTTTGTTTGAGCTAATGAGTATAAGCTAGGTCAGCTGTAGAAGTGTGACTGGAGACACTCCAAATTACATTCCAGGTTCCTTTCTGTACTGCTTGATTTATTAAAACATGCTTAGTTATTTGTGACTCCATTTTTCTATTGGCAAAATGGTCGGTATGTCTTGGAACAGTCATATAAAATAATTATAAGCACTATTGGACAAAAAGTTCTTCCTTATAGTTTATTCACATAAAAATAACTGTTAAACTAAAACATCTTAGAGCTATTCAGATGCTGGAATGAAAAAGATAAGTTACAATTTGTTTTAAATAGTGAGCAACTGACATAGATGTACAATCTGTTAAAGAATCTTATCTATTGATGAAAAGCTGTGCCACTTACTATTATTAGACACTTGGTCTTGTGGTGTAGAACAGGAGGTCCTCCTAAACAAGGATTTCTGATTCTCTAGACTTAGGTGTCCATTACAACTTCTGTGGATATCTATTTGTGGTGGGTTT